GAAAAAAACCATTAAACAAAAGATCACATTTACTTCTCCATGTTCTCATATAGTTTAGTATTTCTATATCAATTGCAATTGCATAAAAAATATAATAATTTGTATTCTTAATGATAAGAGCTAATGATCATTTTGGCATTTCAATGCCCTACATAACATGTGCATTTGGTACAAAATACTTATTTAATTAATACAAAAAAAAAAAAACTCAGTCATTGCTATAAAAGGGATCATTATACATAATTAGCTGACACATAAAACTTTCCCTGCTTCCTGTATCTAAGACCGTAGAAATTAATAATGCACGTTAAAGCAAATGCTTGTTAAATACAACGACAAGAAATGATTAGATAAAAAAAATAAAAGAAAATAATTAAGGACGATATAACACATATTGGGACTGTTTTACGCTTTATAAACCGAGCGGTTTATAAAAAAGCGTAAACTGCCCCAAGTTATTTTTTTAAAATGTTATTAAAAAAGCGTAAACTGCCCCAAGTTATGTTATATCGTATAACATAGATTAAAAAAAAGCTTCATTCCTTATAATTTAATTTCTGTGGAGACAATAAGACAATTTCCCCTCCAAAAATGACCTCACATTGAGCATAATTTTTATCTTAACGTCAAGCGGAGTCGTACGTTTTTGACGTAACTCATTGTAACGTAGGTAATTTATGTTGTACAATATAAAATAAATATTCTACCCAATCAAATGACCTGTTACAACTAAAATAAAATATAAAAATAACTATTAAATAAATACTTTTTGCTCGATCCATCAGGCGGTGAATTTGTATGCACTTAATTCTATTGTACAAGTGCATGATTCACCAGAGGATTTTTTTAAAAAGCCATTAAAAATAATAAACCAGGATGTCCTTTTTATGCGGAAGAACTTTTTCTATCATTTTTTTCCTAATGCACACAGTGCATTATTCTAAATGATACTGTTATAAAAGATTTTATGTGAAAAAATTAAAAAGATACCGCTAATCATACGTTTATTTGCATATGCTTTGGGATTTAATAGAAGTGTCTTCGCATGTTGGTTTTATTAAATGATATCTGATGTTGAAATCATCAAACAGTAATTAATATTGGACAACGGAACAGATTTTAATTTGATTGTAATGTCTATGAATTATAACTTAAGCAAAAGAAAATATAAGAACCATGCAGTAAATAAAATTTAAGCGGAGGAAGCATAATCACTTATCATTGGAATTCAAAGATGTTTCACAAAAGTTATTATTCACTCATGCCGAAACATTGTCTAGAGAGTATTTTCTATGTAAAACATATAGAGATAACAAACATTATTCAAGATAAAAGTCCATAAATAAATACAAAATCGGAGCAGACCTCCAGAATATCAGAGGTGGGATCAGGTGCCATGGAGGTGTGAGCATCCCCTGTCGGTCACACCCACCGTGTGCTCTTTGTCATGACTGGGGGGAAATAACGGAAAAATCTGTAGTGTCGTCAATTCAATGTATAAATAATGGACTAACAATTAGTATGAAAAACAGTATGTACGATCAACAGATGAAGATTCCTTACAGATTAAATTTTAGTCATCTCATTTTAAAAGATTCTGTTAAATCCTTGTTTCATCAACTTCTTTATAAATATAAAAAGTTTGCCTCGTTTTAGAAATTGTTTGTAAGTAGCACATTCTCTTGCGTGTCAAATCAACTGGGAGATATAACCCATCTGCAAGTTGAAGAGAGAAAAAGAGGACACATTTGTCTGGCAGACTGCAAAGTCCGATGCTGACGGCGAAGTCCAATGATCTGCGCCAAACTCCGATGGTTTAACTATTGTCGGAACGGGCGCAAGAGTCCAATGGTCAAGCCAAAGTCCGACGGCTTGTTTCCTATGAGAAGCGCTTCTTTGCTGAAGTGCTATGGTCCGATGCAAGCTTTAGACAACTCAGTATTTCGTTTCGCTAGAACTCCAGCCTGTGGCAGTGGCATTATTCGTAGGAAAAGTAATCCCGGAGAATTGACACTGTACGGAGTTTGAGTCCGATGGTGCCGAGAAACAATTAACGTTTATGACGTCTCAATTATGAAACATGTGAAAATAACAAACAGTATTTAAGATCAAAAGTCCATAAAACAATAAAAAACAGGAGCAGAACAAACATGGACCTCCAAAACATCAGAGGTGGGATCAGGTTCCATGGAGGAGTGATCATCCACTGCCGACCAGTCACACCAGCCGTGTGCTCCAGGTCATGATCGGGAAATAACGGGAAAATCTGTCGTCCATTCAGTGTATTAATAATAGATTAACAATTAGTATGAAAAACGTTTGTCAGCATTTGACTTTCGATGTATCAAGACCCCAAAGTGCGATGATGACGCCAAAGTCCGATGATCCCGCCAAACCCCGATGGTCTGCGCCAAACCCCGATGGCTCGCTGTCTTTACAAAGTCCGATGGTCACGCCAAAATCTGATGGCTCGTTTCCTATGAGACACTTGCGCTAAAGTGCGATGGTCTGATACGCCAAAGTCCGATGGTGTGGAGGAACAATCAATGTTTATGACGTCGCAATAGTCCGACGTCATGCCATTGCCCTGCATTCAAATCCATTGAATCAGTATTCATCTCATGTATACAATTTTTTGCTTATTGTTTACACCCACTACAGGCATTAATAAGGGTTAGTCCTCACAAACAACTCGAGATTTTAGGGTTAGCCTAGTCCTCGACTGATTTGGATTAGTCCAGTACCCATCCAAGATATTTAGGTTATAGTTACTGAGTATTACGCATTTTTCGATGGATTAGGGTTAGTCTCGCACTTATATCCAAATGATGAGGGTTAATCTTTGCATTTAATATTTATTTGTATTTATTTTAAACAATCGGGCCTTGGCAAGGCACGGCATTGGATTTTTCCACAGTAGTACTATGACGTCATAAACTTTAATTGTTTTCTCCACCATCGGACTTTGGCGTGTCAAACCATCGGAGTTTAGCGCAGACCATCAGACTTTGGCGTGACTATCGGGCTTTGGAGTCCCATTTCACTTTGTCGTCCTACATATCTAATTGAGGAGTTAAAAGCCACAGCATTTTGCAAAAATTATGCTTCATATGAATTCAAAAATAGGTCTGCTAATAACGGAGCGCAATTGGTAACCGTGGGAATTCCAATAGGTTGTTGGAATACCTGGTCTCCAAAAATCATATAGATATTGTCAATCAGAAACTCAAGCATCTTTTTATGACATCTTCAGAGTACTTGTGTTTGCAATCAGAATGTTTTTTAACAAAATAATTCTGCAAATGACCAATGACCAGGTAAATAAATTTACGAGTTCCACTTTTATTGAAAAAGCAGCTATCAATAATATCAAACAGTCTGGACCTTAATTTGTCGTGGGAAATGGTAGTTTATAATGTTGAAAAGTCGAAAGTTTTTACGCTGTTGATTTTGGCAAAGTCTTGCATTTGATATCAAATTGTCCGAAAGTTCCTTTGAATTTTTAAGTAACAGGAAATTAAATGACCACTTTTAAATTTATTTACATCATAAATGATGCCTTTAACTAAGCGATACAAACCCTTTAATTTAATGGGTTTTTTTTGCAATTTTAAGACATGTATGATAGTATAAAAAATTTCAGTCCCACGAGTGAAATCAACAATATCCTTCACAACTAGAACACTTTGAAATTTATATTGAAAATATTTTCCTCTATATTGGTGAAGTCGGTTGAAACATCATAGCTCAACATTGTGACATCTTTTCAGTATTTCTACCGCCTCGTATAATAGGCTGATTATAGAGATACCACATAGAGATATAGTTGCTTAAACACTCTTCGTGAAGGGAAGGGAAATGGATAAAGTTTTTGCCTCTTTTCATGTTTTTCACAGTACAAAATGTATCGCTTTGATATTTTGACACACGTAAATAAATCTCACTTTATTTGCTTTCATAAATTACAGTTTTTTACAGTTTGTTTTGTTTTTCTTACCGGGCTCTGCTAATATTTAAACAAATGTATCAATCAAAATAGACTTAGAGAACTTACAGAATATTCATCACTTAATCATCGAATCATATAATAAAACAATTAATTTTAGGGTTTTTTTAGTGAATAAGATGAATTAATTACCAATGGAGTAGAATATTCATCTTGCCCTTCGGGTAAATATTATACTGTACTCTCCAGGTTGGTAAATCATCGTATTGACCTACAAAAATAATGAATTTAATAAAATAGTTTACAGATTATTGAACATATGATGTCCTCAGCCTTATCTGTGGTAACTATAGAGGTAAACTTACCACTAGACTTGCTCAAGTCTCAATGCATTATTATGAATTCTTTTTATCATTTTTATATTGCATTCATCTTCTCTCTATAATATTTAAATGTTATCAAACATCTATAGATGTTTATATTAAAAATATAAAAGAGAGCACTAAAACGTAGAGACTTGAGCAAATCTAGTTTACCACATCTGAGCAGCAGGATCGTATGAGAACATTTTTAACTCGTAAATATATGGGGAAAAAACTCAACTGGTTTTTCCAGATAAAAAACATTTTATTTTTAAAATTTCAAAAACATATTTTATTGTAAATATATGTATATGTAAAAAATAAAATATACATTAAAAATATACAGTAAATGATATAAATAGCTAACTTAAGTTTGTACTTCTTTGATTATACATATATATACTACAATCGATCTAATTAATGTAATAAATAATACTTATAATATAAAAGCACCTGTTTAACTGGTATCATGGGTAAAGAATGTACAATAGACATTTACTTTAACAATGGAATCTTTGGTTTTGTAACACAGGGATTTTCAAACAAAACACTAGGAATTCTGACTTTTTAAAAAGTTATGTACATATAACAAATAAATCTTGAAGTAAACGTAATTTAATTTTATAATCACATCTTCCAAGTAAATTCAATAAAGAAAACATAACTATCAACAAGGATGTTGGTTTTTGAAAAAAAAATTAAAGTGAAACGATGGTTAAAATGGCAATCGGTAAAGATAAGTTTTCAAACCAGACTCATTCAAAAAAGTTACATAAATTAGAAATACTTCCTTTAAACTGTTTAAAGAGACAGCAGACCTCAATTATTTATGATCATCCTTCCCCCAAAAAATGAATCCCATTATATCCAATAACTTATCTTTTCCCACAGTCCTTTGTATTAAAAACAGAATAATGTTTAACTTAACAAGGTTTCGCTGAAAAAGAGATGAGAATTTTACTATGTATTTTGTCTTGCTATACATTTCCACATGAATATTGGATTTCTTCAGAGTAAACATATCTGAAGTTGTGCTAGTCAAAATCAGGCACATACGGACTTGGACCAACTTCCAGAAACAGTTGAAAGAATAGCGTAACCGGATCTAAAGGGGAAAAAAAGAGACTTCAATATTTTTTTACCGAATGATTGTAATTGTTTCAATATTCAAGCTCTAAATTCTAAAAAAAAAATCAAATGTCAAGTTTCATGATAAATAAATGTATCGACTTTTTAGTATAGCCAACTTAATTTAACTATAGTTAACCAAAATGAATCTGTGCTTGGGTAGTTTTTGTCAACACTTACCAAAACAACCTTTGTGAATCTTAAAGTGAACTAGTGGTATGTACAGCAGAAGTCCACCAACAATAAACAGGAATGCGTATAGAAACTCTAGTCTAGGGTCTTGTATGATCGGAGCCACCACCAAGTACAGTGAACACAGCAAGAAAATGACCGGAAACAGGATAAAGATCTGTAAAATTCAAATATATCATGACAACTTTGATTCCTAGAATTTACAGTACTTTTAGCATAAATCAAAGACTATTTAAAAGAACTCTGCAGCTGAAGAGAAAAAGTGAACTTTTGCGACGGGCAAGTATTACAAAGTTATATGTGACAATAGAAGGTCGAGTTTTAATTTCAATATTTTTATGTACTTTAATTTATCAACAGAAGAGATGATATCTATATTTCCTTTACTTATCGCTATAAACGTTGTAAATTACATTCTTTTACTTAACAAAATATTCATCCAAATTTTGTACTCTTTGAAAACGTTTGTGTCAATTTAATATTGACGTCAATAATTGTTTGATTGGTTGAAATGTTATTGTTACTTTAATTGGTCTTTTACGGTCCTTCCATTTGAACCTCAGTATAATTAGACATATAATGGCTAAAGCATAAAACATCCAGGCAGCAAAACTAAAGAAGTCGATCAGACTTCCAATATCTCCTGGAATTAACATCAGAAGGGCAATCACCGTCTGAAATAGATGTAAAATACGTATTTTGTTTGAAATTAATTTGATAGAAGAAAAGATACCTTTTTTGATCATTAAGTAGCTAGCATTTGAAATCATTTCATAATTACAGCCCTCATTGATAATTTAAAAGTATTACCGTAAATATAATACATGGGATTGGAGTAAGACGTCGCGCACTGACGTATGATAGCACTTCTGGGAATTGGTTCTCTCGGGCAGCAACATACAATGTTCTGTAATGTATACATTTTGAGTTTAACCCCTTCCATGGCAAAGATTTTGAGCATTTCTATTTACAAATTGATATGAAGATTTCACATGCATTTTTGCAGGTATTTCTATTAATTTTTGTATATGCCAATGTATATATATTCTGAAAGTAGGTATTGTGATGGTTCTGAAAATGATTATAAATATTTCATTTCTGTTGCCATGGCAATGAAATACACTTATAATCATTGGAATTTCCATTTATTAAATAATGAGTATCATTCTAGTTTTTTTTTCCTTAGTTAAATATATAAAAAGATATTTTATTGTTTTGTTGAAAATTATAAATATGTTGTTTTGTACCCAAACCAATTTTAAGTAGAGATGTATTTTGGGGGGATTGGGTAGGATGTGGATGTAAACACCAAAAATCCAGCATTTTTACATATAACGTGATATCCCCAGATTGATTTGGATTTTAATGGCAAACTCACTAAATAGTGCGCACAGTTTTACTCAAGTTAGCAATAAACTGGTACAACTAATAAAAATATTTCTTGTATATTATTTAACCGTATTCATTTTCTCTTTCCAACGGTGCAAGATTTATTCTGAACAAAGTTATGAATGTTTTTTTCACACTATACTTGTTTTTCAGTTCTATAGCGTAGAAATGCGTATATGCCATGTAAGTACCTTATACATACGAGGGGTGATCAAAAAGATCGCGAATTCTATATTTACAAAACCACGCTTCAGATCAGAATGAAATTTGGCACACCTATAGTCATGCACATGTTCTATAAATAGCATATGAAAAGGAATGATTTTCTCCATCATTGTGATAATGGCGTTAATATGTAGGTGACTCGTGACGAAAAATGGTTTTCAAGTCTTACTCGAGCAACGAACGGCCGTAAAGTTTAACTTGTAACTTGAAGAGTCCTTTGAAGTATCTTATAATAATTTGTACAAGGTTTATGAAGTCAATAGACTTTCCAGATGTTCAATCATAGATTGGATTGTTTGCTTTACTGAAGGGAGGGAGATGGTTAAAAAAACGTGCGGGTAGCCCAGCGAAAGCAAACTGAGGAAGTAGCATGTGTGTTTTGTTAGATTTTTGATATTTACAGCTAGAAAAATGGTTGGATTTCTTAACAATTATATAAAAAATTACTAAATCCCTAAAATGATCGATTATTTATACATTTTAACATTCTACTTCTGATAAACAGATTTGCACCCTACTTTATCCACATTGAATAAACGACGCAACGAACAAAGAACCATTGGGTGTTGAAAACATCACAAAGTTGCTAATGATTGAAAAGGATAATCAATTTCTCCACCTGTCAAGGTTTATATAAAAAAATTTGGCCACTTTTGATAAATGGATTGTTTTTGTTATAAAAAAAAATAACTTGCATAGTATGAAATACACAGTAACAGAAAAATTTATAGCAAGCTTCTGTGGTGCCACATTGTTAGATTTAATTAGCATGTCACGTGACACACTACATCAAGTGATCCGCGCATGGACGGAACGGTTGAAGATGCACGTTGAAATAGCCAGAGGATTACTTTATAAAAATATTAACACAGAAAGCCCTATATCATTTAATATTTCTAATGTAATACAATTAGTTCGCAAACTTTTTGATCACCCCTCGTAGATATGAATGGCTTATTTTTGTGCTTACAGTTTAGCTTTTAAAGCCATCCCCTGTATATGACTGCTTTTATACATAAAAAATACTAGTATATAATTGTAAAATATCCCCTAACACAGCGCGCTTATCAAGTCTCATTCAAAATCTTAATATTTTAATTTTCCAAACTTCAATATGCTATCAAAACCTGTAATTAACAGATTCAAAATATTTAAAAAGTATTTGATGTATATATTCAAGTTGTTTCGCTTGCACGAACTTTACCGATATTTTTTTTACATCCGTCAATCAAGCGTCATATAAAAAAGCTTTTAACCTTTATGCAAAACATCTCTAAAAATTTGCATTTTAAAATTCTTTGTCTAGAAAAATCTTCAAATAGTAAAAATGCTTTATTTATACATTCATTTACTGTTTCATCGATAGGCTTGTTTAAAAGAAAAAAAACGTGCGGGACGGGGCAAAAAGAGACAGAAGCGCAGCTTGTAGCACGTGAATTTGTGGAATTAGATTTTTGGTTTCATGACGATGAGCAATCGGTAGGATTTCATGATAATTTGCATTGACCAAAAAATTAGACAATTATCCCTAAAATGAAGATTCATTTATACATGTAAATTTTACTTCTTGAACAGATTTGTTCCCTTCGTTTAATCTATAATAGTACCTGACGCCAGCGAACAGAGAACCATTGGCGGCACCAAATGTTGAAAACATCACAAAGATTGGCATAATGATTAGCAACAGGTTCCTGTAAAGATTACAAAAATACACATTCCTGTCAAGGTTATATATATTGAAATTAGATATTTGAAACATTTAAGCAACAGCATTTTGTAGTTTAAAACAAATTTATCATTTTGTTAAATAACATAAAGATGAAAAAACAAAGAGCTGCCAGGTATAAATCATAACAGCAAATTTATAGCCAAGAGATTCCTGTGGTGCCATGCATTGTTAGATTTAATTAGTATGACGACACACTTTTACAAATTAAGATTAAAATAAGAGCAACAGCACATTTTTGTGGTGCTATTGATGCATGCATTCTCAAATACCAATGATATTCATTTTTTTTATAACATCCATTATTTTGCAATCTTAATATAATCCAGTTAAAGTATAAAAGAATTGCCCTAAAATATCAAAACAAGTTTTTCTTACAACAGCATACGGCACTTGAGTAATATAGGCCATCTTTTCCAAGAAAAGCTATTTAGGAAATATTAGCTAGCAAGCATAGAAAACTGTGACTAGAAGTACTCCTTTGTAAATAAAAAAATTAAATATTAACTACTAATTAAAATGCTTTGCAAAAATACGAAGATAACAATCACGTTTATTATACATTATAAAGTTTGATAATGGGATTTGAAACATTTAAAGTCAATTTATATTTTTATGCATAATCTAGAACGTATTCATGCAAAACACTTACAAATTCCAGCAAATCTTGGTTCATGCATATAGGTGGAGAAAAAAATGAAAAAATCAAAGATTTTTCATCACTTCAGATCAATATTTGTTTAAAAATTCCAAATTTAAGTATTCAGACAATGTTTGTATGTTTGTTCAGGCGATAACAATTTGCCATTTTTCATAAATGAAAAAACTACCCTAGGGTGAGGTCACACACATCGTGTGCACATACCTTGCTTCGGACAACTTTAACAAAACTCTCTTTCAATAATCCGTTTGTGTGATTTATTTGTTTCTGTCGTAAAGATGCAGATTTAAATTTTTTAATGATATTGTGTTTTTTATGTGGTAAAAATAACCATCCATTAACTGGCAATTGTGAAGTTACCAATATTTTACATCATCAAAATATAAAAGAATTTATGCCCTTGCAAATTTCAGAATCGTTTTTCTTACTTACACATATGGATTTTTCAGCTCTTCTGTAATATAGTTTAAATTTTCCTGCAATGAAAATTATTTTTTGTCAATATATTTCACCGTACATCGGACACAAATTAACCATGCATCGGACACTTTTCATGAAAAAAAATTTTCAGAAATACAGCTGTTTTTGGAAATAAAAAAATTAAAATTAATTTTCATAATTAAAAGCTATTGATAATATGAAGATAACAATTTATCGTTTATTAAACACATTATAAAGTTTGATAAAAAGGTCGATTCCCTTTTAATTAAAAAAAGTCAATTGTATATTTTTATGCATTTGTGAACTATATGTCAATTAAATTTTAGCATGAGGGTTATTTCTTAGCTAAAAGACAAAATTACCATATCAAGGATTTTAAATCATGATATATAGGTAATAAAAAAAAATGAAAATATATCCATGGTGAATTTTTCCTCTCTTCAGAAAACTCAACATTTGTTTAAAAATTCCAGAATTGTAAATTGATATTTTAATCACAAACTAAATGTTGAGGTCCATTTTGATAATTTTCCTTGGTAGCGATATCGCTAGAACTTGTTGAAGTACAATTTTTCAGTGCATGGTGAAATCACGTAATACCTGTTATAATTTAACATATGTTATTATTTTAGGTATTATTTTTTTTTATTTACTGAAAATTTCATTAAAATTGATTGTTACGCGAACTCCTGTGGTTTGTTTAATGTCCCTTGCGCGAATTTTTCACTCATGCTGAGATGCAATCAGTTGCTGGTGGAGGGCTGCATTAAGACCAGTACTGGACAGCACCTTTTGCGACATGGGACTTCATTTTATAGTGTCTCAAACGAAAGACAGTTTACCACGTCCTGCAGTGGGATTCGATCCTGCGACGTAAGGATCGGCTCCTTACTACGCAAGTCTAGAGCAAACGCTTTACCACTGCACCATGCGAACGACTTCTTCACATCGTTAGGTTATATAAAGAGGAAGTACCATCCGTCATAAGCCCAGAGTGCATCGTAGAAAGCTAGAGCTACTGCTGAGGGGGAATTAGTGGAACCCTCGAATCCTGTCTGTAGTGTTTCCACCTCTCCTAATATGTAAAAACAGAAATTTACCGTAATTGATACAAAATAAAACTACAAGTAATAAATAACCGTTAGCAAATTATTTGGCATTACCTTTCCCTAGCCACACCAGACCTCCAATCACAATGATAAATAGAGCGATCAGCTTAGCCGCGGTGAAAAAGACTTGTACACTGGCTGCAAGTTTCGTATCCCAACAGTTCACTATGGCCAGAGTTACTGCATGTAAAAATAATAGTTATGAATCAGATGACATAGCTTCTTTCAGAAACTTCTTGTACATGTTGTAAGAATGCAAAAAATACCACATTATTTCTTAATTATAAAATAGACATGTGCTGGAACATATTCAAATTCAATATACTACGTCATTTTACACACTTGTATGTACTTTTAATTAATAATTAAAAAAACGTAATTCCGTTAAAAGACATCTGAAAAAATACTAATCATCCTTTTAATTAAGTAGGTACAAAGGAAAAATCGTTTTATCGTTTTTATACGAAAGCCATAAAGGGACATGGGGATTTTCAAAAATGTATAAAAGTAAACCGAGTTCTCGAATTATATAATCCGTTCTCTCGGATTGACAACCTGTTATAACGAATTGCCAATTCGTTCTCACAGATTATCAGTTCGTTCCCTCAAATTAAAAAAACCCGTTATCTCGGATTGTAATTCATTCTCTCAGTTTAAACAATTCGTTCCCTCGGAATGTAAATCGTTCCCACGATTAACTATTATTTACCTGTACATATCGGTTATTGCAGTACGGGTTTAATGAATAGAATATGGAGTAGTTTACCTCCTAATTTTTATTACATATTCAGTCAAAAATGAGAAAATTACATGAACATATTTCAAATCCATATGCTATTACTGATATTTGTACAAAAAAGTCTTAGATTTCTGTGTTACATGTATATTTGAATCATTGAAATTAAGCCCTAGTAAAAGTAAACATGGGCCCTGTGTAATTATTTTTCCTAAAATATATATACTTGACTTAATTGCATAAAAATCGGAACGACCGGTTGCTGAATCAAAATACATAAAACGCATTAATTGATACAAAGGATTGGATTTTCCAAGCCTTTATACATGTACTCGGATATATGTATATATGTATGTGTAATGAAATTTGAGAAAATGGTTTATCAAAATTATTAGAATGATATGTTGATTTGTGGGATCGGATTGTGTAATTCGAGATCTCAAATTACAAATAGAAATCTTTAATTATTGATCTGTGAAAACGAATTATGTAATTCGAGATCTCGAATTAAAAATCGAGGGAACGAATTAGTAAATTGTGACGAAGAAATATATGTAATTTGCGATATCTCGAATGATAAATCGAGGGAACGAATTGATAATCCGTGGGAACGGATTGTGTAATTCGAGATCTCGAATTAATTTTTACTTTTTTGACAAACCGACGTGTCCCTTCATGGCTTTCGTGTTTTATGTAGGAGTACCATATTCTGCATACTTTAGTATTTTATAAAAACTCTTAATTTTTTATCTGACTTTAATACCTGAAATATATTCCATACCCAATTACAGTTGAACTTCGGTATCTCGAACTCCGATATCTCGAATACCATGGATATATCGAAGTGATTTGGAAGTCCCAACCTCATGATCTTTAAGCACTATTTAACCTTTGATATCTCGAATCCTCGGATATCTCGAAGTTTTTTCTCAGTCCCATCAGGTTCGAGATAACGAAGTTTGTATAAATATTGAATATCTTCTTATATATACTTTTTCATACTGTATGTAGTTCCATATTCCAAGGCTCATTCCTTTAATCTCTTTATGTATGGATTTTACCAAAAGAAATAATTATTTGCATTAAATTGTCAATCATCTGTTATCCAAAAGGATCTTAAAACTATAAAAAGACATTGATTGTAATAAGCAATCATCTAAGAACGGGAAAATATGTTGGAAAAATATATATTCGATATAGTCACAAAGTTTAATCTATGTATGAAGGGTTTGATGGAATGGGTTATAAAATATTTGAATCGCATAAAGCATGATGAGGTATATACATATATTAGGGTATATTCAATGTTTTATAGTTATTTAATGTATTTCAGAAGTTGTTTGGTGAAACACATTTTTTTCCTAATATTTTCAATATTGCGGTTTCTGAAAAAGATATTATTATTATTATGTTAAGCCAGATATCGCTTGAACAGAAATTAACACTGCTGGGAACACCTATTTTTGTATGTTCATTCAGTTTCTTATTATTATTATTATTTTATATTCATTACGAAAAAAAATTAATAAAAATGAAATAGACCTCTGTTGAATTGATCTTGTAAACTTCACATCCGACTAAGGTAAAATGTTTTTAGGGTCATCTTATAGCTAGCATGTTATGTAGATTTGCCAGAAGTCAAAGGTAATAAAGTTTGCGCGCAGATGCTGGCCATGGAGCGCGCAGTACAACATGTAAAATGACCGATTTCCCCATTGATATATGCGTAACTTTTTTTATTTTTAATGAAATGCTTTGAAACTCATAATGTAAGGATATATTTTAATAAACAGTTTTCTTAATATTAGACAATATTTAATGACACAAATTTTTCAAGATATAATGAAAAAAATATCACGTGCGCTTTTTTTTATTTCATTTTAAACAAAATTAAAATCTACACATATCTTTATTCTTGTTTTTTGAGGAAATATTAAAAAAGAAATTTTGAACACAGCAAACAATCTTTTATGATATCCTAACAAGTTGTGAAAAATAAATGAGAATATATGAAATTATTTCTTCATTTTAAAAAATTGCTTATCATTAATTACACGTGCAATTAACAGTCTACTAATTGGTATTTCCTTTCAGTGCTTGCAAAAAAATATTTTACATATTCAGCTATTTGAGATACTAAAGTTTAAGCAGGTTTTCAAACCAAACAGGATGTCATCATGAATAAATAAATATATAAAATTATCATTTATATTATAGTATTGGTGAACATTGCACATGCAAAAGCACGTGCGTTATGTTGCAAGAGCATTTTATACAGCTAAAACTTTAAATTTACAGTAATATATTTTATGGTTTTCAATATATCTAAATTATGTTTCACTTGATTTTTACTTATTTTTGAGATATACATAATGGACATCTTCCAAGAAATATAAGTGTGCATTTTCATTTCAAATTCATACATGTATTTGCTGTATAAGTTTATCATTCAGCTTTATTTTGCAATCTGATTGTTAGCTTATTATAAATATACATTAAACAAAGAAGCCTCTGTTTCGTTTATAGCTAAAGTATAGATTCCATTTTGTTCAGATCATGGTGCAAACGGGATGGGATTATTCTCAAAAACAGATGATATATATAAAAGAACTTAAGCACTTTAGAAGGTAAATGAAAACCATGCTAATTGTATGCACGTGCGTGCACGCTCCCCAATCCCTTTTGGGCCATAAAATCAAAAATACACTTGAATGAATAACGTTTACCCAGAATTTTTTAAATTTTGCGTAGATTAAATACTTTATTATTTAGTATATTATATATATATATACTGTGTATTACAAGTATTTATATGGTCATTAAAAAGATGCATTCAAGTGTTTTAATGCTAAAATTTGAATGAGCATGGTGATTTCTTGTAAACATTGTTAAAATCTCAAATGCATAGAGTTTGTGTTATTAAATAAAGCTGTTTAAAGTTTCAGAATATGGCAACAAAAGGTGTATGCATGTGCATGGTGACCATATTTTCTTGTAGTAGTCCAGATACATCTATGTTCCAAATCGGTCCTGTTTGTTAAAATTAGCAGTTATAGCTATTTAAAGTTTAAGCCAATCAGAAGCGCACGGAACATGCACGTGTTTTCATGGTAATTGCTATATATTCTTATTATTATTATTATTTTTTTCTTCTTCCAAGAAAGATATTAGACTTTAGTTTCAGTCAGAGCAAAGCGCACGAGCGCGTGATCTTGCTAGTTTGACCACATATTGACTTGCTAAAATCCTTTATTAGGGTTTCAAAGCATTTCATCAAAAATTTAAAAAGTTACGCCTATATCAATTAAATGCGCGCACATGTTGCACGTGCACGCTCTTGCAACACGTGCGCGCAAATGACCTTCGTTCCGCAAATCTACATAACATGTCTACTAAAACATTTCACCTTAGTTGATATAGATGTATTTTTAGTTTTTGATGAAATGCTTTCAAACTTAAAAAAGAATATTTTAGTAGCACAGACAATATACATAATAATAATAGATACGATCTCGTTGCGCATGCACGTGCACTTCGCTCTGATTGGCTGAGATAAAATTTTGATATCTTTCTTAAAATAATGTTTTTTGACGAAATCCTTTGAAATTTTGAACATCGCCATGCATTAGGATAGCCTACATATCATCTGAAAGCATGATATATAGCAATTATCTTTTTCGTTTTTGATGAAAACACGGGGACGTTTGCAACGATAAAAGGTTGCATATTGTTTAGAACATGATTTTGAACATCTTTTGTTCAAAATTACTTGTCAAAATATTTCTCATTTCGGATATAAAGATCAAATTTAAATAGCTATTAACTCCCCCCCCTTTGGTTTTCAACCAATATACGATATTAAAATCATAATATACATTGTAGATTGTTGAGATATACATTTTTGCTTCAGACTGTATAACAAAATATTGGAAGAGTTATGGTCATCATGCACATGCATACACGCGGGTGTACGTGCGCTGCAATCTGATTGGCTAAAACTTTAAACAGCTATAACTCCCTTGGTTTGCAACCAAATGGGATGAGATTTAGAACATAAATAGATGTAATGGACTTCTACAAGAAGGTATGGTCACCATGCTCATGTATGCACGTGCGTGCATGTGAAATGAGCAAAATCAAAAATACACTTGAATGTTGAGATATTTTTGCTTCAGTAATGTATAACAAAATATTTAACATTCAGTATATTGAAATATGTAGATTGTGTAGACATGATGATATGGTCAGTTTCACGCTCATGCATTCACATGCGCACGTGTGCAACGCTAAAATTTTTTTTCGTTTTCGAGAATGAACTTGGTACACTTCTGGGTAAACGTTGTTAAAGTCTCAAGTGCATAGAGTTTGTCTTATTTAATGAAGCTTACAGGGAATATAAAGCACCAAAAGGGAGTTGGGGAGCGTTTGGGGAAATCATGTAATATACCCGTATTAAAATCAATTAGCACTAGTTATTATTATTTTCTTTTTTTTTGACTGTTAAAGAGTTCTCCGGTACTTTTTTGTCCGCGAGTGTTCTCAGAAACTGTTCTTGACCCAACTGAAGCTAAAACCTTTTTAGGGTTAATAGGTGTGTAGTGTAGGTGTGCAACACGAAGGTTATTTTGCGCGCATACGCATGAAAGGTTGCATTTTGTTCAGAACATGATTTTGAAATCTTTGAAATGACGGATATACTTTATATAGCTATAACTTTAACATTTTTTGAGTAATATTTTAAAATCATTTACATAAGGATATATTAATAGTGTATAATGTGACACTGTTAAATTAGCACGAACTCACGCGCATGCACGTGCGCTTCGCTTTGATTGGCTTTTGAAACAAAAATCTCAATATCTTTTCTGTTTTTTGACGAAATTTAGCCAACCCTATGAAATTTAAAATATAAAGGCATACTTTAGGATGTACTACAATATGATATATAACAATTGTCATGTAAACACGCGCGTGCACGTGCGCTGCAATCTGATTGGCTTAAACTTTAAATACAGGCTATAACTCCCTTGTTTTTCAACGAAACAAAATATGGGATTTAAAGAGTTATCGACAAACATAATGGACTCCCACAAGGAGGTATTTTTTTTTGATATCGTCATGCACATGCATGCACGTTTTGCACGTGTGCTTTGCTCTGATTCGCTGATAACAAAAATCGCAATATCTTTTTTTCCTAATTTTTGACGAAATACTTTAAAATTTTAAACATAATCATGCATTAGGATGTCCTACATATGATATATAACAGTTGTCGTGAAAACATGCGCATACACGTGCGCTGCAATCTGATTGGCTTAAACTTAAAATGGCTATAACTTCCTCGTTTTTCAACCAAACAGGATGGGATTTAGAACACATAATCCTTGACAAACATAACAGACTCTTACAAGAAAATACAAAAGTGAAGAAGATGCACATGCATGCACGTGCGTGCACGTGAAATGAGTAAAATTACAAATACACTAGATTAAATGTATTTTTTAATACTTTTGGATAAAACAGAGTAAAAACAATATGTAATTTCTAGTATATAAATAGCAAAATTCAAATTACTCATTTACTCTATGGATTTTTATGGTCATTGGTTTTATTCAGAAATTTAATGAAGGACTGGGTTCAGGCAATACATGTAAGGGTACCACACCGGTAATGCATAAAATGAACTTAGTCAATATAGTGAATATACCGATTTTCCTTTCTTTTGAAAACATTGTTATTTTTTTTTTTTAGTTTCCTTCCAATTTTGAAGGCATGTGCCTAGAGAAATTTTATCTACTATTTAAATAAAGTGTTAGACAGGAATATTTTCACCAAAAGGGAGTTGGGGAGCTTTTGAGATGTTTATAAAGACATTGAAAACACGTGGATTTGAGGGTAGCCTTATTTAGATGCAAAAAATTTCAGAAGTTGTCGTAGTGAAACACAGGTTTTTTCACTTCAAATATTTTCATGATATTCAAATTGAAGTTTTGAAAAAGTGTATTGCTTTTATTAGTACCAAAATATTATTTCGGGGGTTAATTCTAAAAAAAATTCAGATAAATTTCAAAGAAATAACACTGCTTGAATTAAAATATAAATTCTTCAGTCTGTGAATGTTTAATTCATCTGGAGAAATAGGCTTTATAAGGTTATATCATATCTAGTGGCACAAATTTCAAACACGACAGAATTTATATTCATTACCGACAAAAAAATTCTATATAATAAAAATGAAAACTTTCAGGAAACTTTCTATGAAGTATTTTCTACACCTTGTAAATTTTATGTCATGTCGCAATGTGAAGAGAAATTTTCTATCTTGCTATTGATTTTTTTTTTAAAGGAGAGCACTTTTTATTCATAGTTAGCAGCGGCAACTTGAATTTTGTGACCTTTGGGTCAGGGTAAAGGTCAGGCAAAGGTCAAGGTCACAGAACATTTCATAAAGAAAATAAAACTAACGGCCATATCAAGTATACTAGTCACTTGAGCATTGCATGCGCGAGCAGGTGCAATGCAGAAAGATATCATCGTGACTACACTTTTAATATGTTTCTATCTTTGAATTTCAAAACGTTTCATAAAAAATTTACGAATATCAAGTAAATCGGTCATTTAACTCTCGCGCGCATGCATGCATTCCTTGCATTCAAGTTTGATAGTAGCATAATGTAGGAATCCGTCATATCTATTCATATTCTAAATTTCATTGTTTTGTAATCAAAAAAGTTATAGGCATTTAAAGTTTAAGCCAATCAGATCGCAGCACACATGCATGAGCGTTTTCTTAAAATTTTTATATATCATATTTTAGAGCAACGTTTAAGACACAGATGTTTTAAAATTGAAAGTATTTTGTCAAAAAACAAGTAACTATTGAGATTTTTGTTTCATTTAATCAAGCAAAACGTGCACGCGCGTGCATCTGCATGTGCATAATGACTATAACTTCTTGTATTCTATTATGTTGTCTGTGTTCTAAATCTCATTTGGCTGAAAAACAAGGGAGTTATAGCAAATAGTTTCAGCCAAACAGATTGCATCGCACGTTATACACGTGTAGTTCGATGATAATTGCTATATACCATGTTGTAGGATATCTAATATATGTTCAAAATTTCATTTTTCATTTTAAAAAATTGAGACTTTATCCAATTAGAGCAAAGCGCACGTGCATGCAATGAACATCTTGCTAATTGTACCATGTCATTTGTCTGCTACTTATATATCCTTACTTTATGAGTTTCAAAGCATTTCATCAAAAATAGAAAAGTTAAGGCAATATACATTATATTGGCCATTTAACGTGTTGCACGTGCTCGCTCTTGCAAGCATGCGCGCAAAATGACCTTGATTCCGCAAATCTACATAACATGCCTACTAACCCTAAAAAGGTTTTACCTACTTCGGGTGAACAGTTTACAAGATCACTCGCGGACAATACTTGAAAACCAGAAAAATACAATAATAAGAAACAGAGTCAATATGTTCCCCAATTCGTTTGGGGAAATAAAAGGACACTTAATTAACAATATCGGACAGTTTTTGTTAGTGAACAATTAAACAAGAGAAAACTTTGATTGTTAAAGTAAAAAACATGCTCACTCCTCCATGGCACCTAATCCCACCTCTAATGTTTTGGATGTTCGTGTTTGCTATGCTCCTATTTTGCAATGTTTAAAGCTGACATTAACTCTTAAAAGGCATCATTTTTCATCTTCGCACGACTTACTACATTCCTGTACGCCTTTGTTTGCCATATTTCTTCGAATCCGCCATATTAATTTGAATTATTTTGCTACCTGTACCTATATATAAAGATTGGTGCATTTGTTTCACTTGAGTGATTTTCTATTGGCTGTCGACATGTACAAATACCGATAGCATAGTTTTTAGAAATCCATAAACTGACCAAATATATAAAACATACATAGATGAAAATGTTGCGTTTTTAAGAATTCTTGTCAGCTTTAATGGACTTATGAGCTCGAATACTGTTTGTAACTGTTTGTTATCTCACATATTTCATTCAAAACTAATACTTCTTGTATAATTGTGCTATAAACTTTGTGTTATCAATATAAAATTGGAATGAATCTTTATTAAAGAAACGATTCGCTGACTGAATTCTCTACCCATCATGTGCAACTCACTGTAAATTCAGTCTTAAAACCTAGCTAGAATTCAATTAAAGTAACATTACCCATCAGCGATAAAAGTCCTCCTGCTGTCCATACTATTAGACTAAGACCTACAGATCCTGTCTCCTGAAGCACTCCTTTAGGAGAAATGAAAATTCCTGATCCTAAAACGATTCAATTGTTGAGAAATGTGAATGAGGATAACATGCAATCGACCATTTTTAGAATATATATAGAAAAAAGTATCTAGTTTTTGATTAACATCTTTTCAATGTTACTTTTTCAATATATTAATATATAACTTTTAAATAATTAACTTAGATGCATATTAATGAAAAAGTTCTTGATCATTCTCTCGTCCACTCTTTTTAGCTCACCTGAGCCGACCTCTAATGTTTTCTGATGTTCGTGTTTGTCTATGTCCGTCCGTCTTTTGTCTGTGTTTAAACTTTTCACATTTTCGACTTCTTCTCAAGAACCACTGGGCCAATTTTGATCCAAACTTGGTACAGAGCATCCTTGGGTAAAGGGAAATTTAAATTGTTAAAATGAAGGGACATATCCCCTCACAAGGGGAGATAATCAAGAAAAGACAAAAATAGGGTGGGGTCATTAAAAAATCTTCTTCTCAAGAACCACTGAGCCAGTAAATAAAACTTAGGTGGAGGCATCCTGTTTAGTGTAGATTCTAAATTGTTCAAATCATGACCCCCGGGGGAAGGGCGGGGCCACAATGGGGAATCAAAGTTTTATATAGAAATATATAGGAAAAATCTTTGAAAATCTTCTTCTCAAGAACCACTGGGCCAGAAAAGCTGAAACTTATGTGGAAGCATCCTGGTATAGTGTAGACTGTTTGTTCAAATCATGACCCCCGGGGGAAGGGCACAATAATTTTTCATAGAAATATATAGGAAAAATCTTTGAAAATCTTCTTCTCAAGAACCACTGGGCCAGAAAAGCTGAAACTTATGTGGAAGCATCTGGTATGTAGTTCTAAATTGTTCAAATAATGACCCCCGGGGGATGGGTGGGGCCACAATGGGGAATCAAAGTTTTATATAGAAATATATAGGAGAGATCTTTGAAAATCTTCTTCTCAAGAACCACTGGGCCAGAAAAGCTGAAACTTATGTGGAAGCATCCTGGTATAGTGTAGATTCTAAATTGTTCAAATCATGACCCCCAGGGGAAGGGCTAGGCCACAATGGGGTATCAAAATTTTACATAGAAATATATAGGAAAAATCTTTGAAAATCATCTTCTGAACCACTGGGCCATGAAACTATGTGGAAGCATCCTGGTATAATGTAGATTCTAAATTGTTCAAATCATGACACCCGGGGGAAGGGCGGGGCCACAATCCTTTTATATAGAAAAATATAGGAAAAATCTTTGAAAATTTTCTTCTCAAGAACCACTAAAAAATGAAGCTTATATGGAAGCATTCTGAGGTAAATTCTGAATTGTAGGAATCATGACCCCCGGCAATCGACCATTTTTAGAATATATATACATAAAATATATAGTTTTTGAAAATCTCTTTTCAGGAACCACTTTTTGTGCCCATGGAAGGATATATTAATATATAAAATGTTAAATTATTATCAGTGGGGTAGGGTGGGGATGCATTATGTATAACAAGGGTGAAATCTGGTAAAGAACAGAATGGTCAAAGCTTCTCAGGTGAGCGATGTGGCCCATGGGCCTCTTGTTCTATTTCTCACCCACTTTCCCTCACCTATGATAGTTCCTACGATGATTGAGGTACCACTGATAAGGCCCAGACTCCTTTTAAGCTTGATCGCCTGAACATCTACTTTTACATTCGGACCCTCTTCACTGTTTGTATGTCTTTGTTTAAGTTCCATTCCATCTTTATCTGCAAGCAAAAGTTTACCATTTTATTTTAATAAATAATAGAGGCTGGTTGTATTTTATAATAAAAATAATTTGTGATCATCCAATATAATTTTTCAGGGAAGAAATACAAATGGGTCAGAAAAGGTTCGTGGACTATCATTATAAAAACTAAAACCGCAGAGTGTCTTAATGTTCAAACGTTCAAAAAATATTTCATCCTGAAAAACTGGCATAAATTTAAGACCTGGAAATTTTTTGAAGAGGGTTAAGGAAAAATAAATACTGTAAACCAACTTTTATTCGCGAACTTTATTTCGCGATTTACCAGCGGTAAACTAGTTCGCGACGATTAGTTTTCGCGATAAGGCCTTTTTTCGCTTGTTAACTAATAGACACATAGACTATAATGACCGGTAATGACCGCGAGAAATATTCGCGATAACGAGGTTCTCGCGAAGTTCATTTCTCGCACGCGAATAAAAATTGGTTTACAGTATCCAGAGTATATCCGGGCATCCTATGTATATCTCCATTTACAATATAATGCATTAAAATAAGATGTTAATTTTACTGTAAAGTCATATGAGTACAGGGTTCGGTTTTTTTTTAAACTCCAGGAAATTCATCAAGTTGATAGGGCATGAAGGTCGAGAAATAATGAAGTTTAAGGGCATCATAAACTCAGTGCATATGGTGACAACACCGGGTGAGCAAATATTGTCTTTTTATGATAAATATACAAATTATATACATATCAAGCCAACATTTTCATCACGTAAACGTCTGTTGGTTTATGTTCCTAATAAATATAGTAAGCATCGATTACACAGTACTGATTTACTGCATCAGTTCAAGATCTTTTTGTTAACAGTGTTACATGCATCAAGTCCGATCTCTTTGGAGCATATTACACAGAATGCGCAATTACACATGCGGAGTTTACATATATCTCAGTTGATTCGATACGCAAGAGCATGCTCTATGTATGAACAATTACTAAAACGAGGTAAATTATTGACAAACACGTTGATGAAACAAGAATATCAGCAGTCTCGTTTAAAGTCATCATTTTGAAAGTTCTATGGTCGATACAATGACCGTGTCAGCAAACACAATTTTTCATTGAGTCAAATGCTGACTGATGTTTTTCATAATAATTGTTAGTCCATTATTTAAAAACTGAATTGACGACGGATTTTCCCGTTATTTCTCGAACATGACAAGGAGCGCACGGCGGGTGTGGCCGGTCGGCAGGGGATGCTAACTCCTCCATAGCACCTGATCCCACATCTGATGTTTCGGAGGTCCGTTTTTGCTCTGCTCCTATTGTGTATTGTTTTATGGATTTTAAATCTTGAATACTGTTTGTTATCTTCATATGTTTCATCCAGAAGTCATCAATAACTTCGAACTCAAACGTATTGTTTAACAATTTTTAAAAATCTTTTATTTTTATTTTTATTTTTTTTATTTTTGTGTGCATTTTTTCTTCATTCAGTATCAACAAGTATTGCAAGTGGTTACATTTAAAAGGAATATAAAAATTTACAGAATTGTAATATTTTACAACAGGCAAATGTGACATGATAACAAGCAAATTGTTTTCAGTTCGAAACTCAAGTTGCCCACTTCTTTAGTTTGACATACATTATTGGAATTCATGCTGAAGGGCTGATTTGAAAAGCAAAAGCTCGATAATACGAGGGTTGATCAAAAAGTTCGCGATCTATCTCTATATTTACAAAACCGCAATTCAGATCAGAATGAAATTTGGCACCCATAGAGGCATACACATGTTCTATAAATAAAATATGTAATGGAACGTTTTGTCCCGTGTTTGTGACGTCTTAATGTGAAAATGACGTCATAAGGTAGATCACTTGTGACAAAAAATGTCTATTATGGTTGACTCAGTCGTATTCGAGAAACGAACGGCTGCAAAGTTAACCGTATATCTTAGAAATTCATTTGTAGAAGTTTATAATAATTTGTACACGGTTTATGAAGACACAAGACTTTCCATAAGTTTTGTCATTAATTGGATTGATTGTTTAAGTGAAGGAAGGGAGATGTTTAAAAATGATGTTTGTTCTGTTGCCCGGTGAAAGCAAACTGGGAGAGAGACGTGTCCTTTGTTAAGCAGTTTGATTTAAAAGATCTCCAACTTACAGTTAGAAAAATAGATGAATATCTTTACAATAATATAATTATCAAATCCCTAAAATATCGTTTACTTTAGACTTTAAACATATCAGATATGATAAAGTGAAGGCACCCATACTTTATCCACATGAAATAAACGACGATCAAAAGACAGAGGAATAGGCTTTTGATGGTCACCATGCTCATTCTGTAAAAGGATATCATTATCCACCCACACTATTGCAGAGATTAGGCCGTTTTTGGCAAATGTACTATTTTTGTTGCAAAAAATAACTTGCATGGTAAGAAATATAAGAGTCCGAAAAAATGTTAAGCTTCTGTGACAGAACGCTAAAGAGCATGTCACGTGATCGCCTATATCACGTGATCCGCACATGGGCAGAATGATTGCAGATGCGCATTAAAACAGGAGAGGACTACTTTGAAACATTTTCAATACTGAAACCCCATATCATTTCTTTTACGGAAGTTATTCAATCAGTTCGCGAACGTTTTGATCACCCCTCGTACAGTTATTTTGTCTACGTCAATTGTAATCTTTTTTTAAGGAAATCTCAGCTCAAAACTGATTTACCAGGTAAAAAAGCCTAGGTAAGGCTCGATTACAACATATGTCAACGTGATTTCAAATAAAAGAAATCAAAAGGGAACATTCTTTTTTAATTTGTCCGTTTTTCACACTGTTTTTTTTTTTAAGTGATCTTCAGACAAAATTACCTTTGAGAATGCCTAATTCAGATTGCGTTCCGGTTTCAGATAAAAGTCTGTAAATGAATATAAAGCTTTTTCCCATAAATGGACTGTTTGAGTCACGGAAATGAATTATAGACTTCAGAATGAGTGCTTGATAGTTGCATAATATATATTTATTGAACAAATTCTCAGTGTTCTGATAACAAAACGAGAGTGTTCAAAGGAACGCATGTGTCGCCTGCTTTTAGCTTCTTTAAAATGTAACTAAACCTAAGAGTGTCAGCTATCTATATGCTACTATCATAAACAGTATTTCATGCTAAAAAATCTAGCATGATAGTTCATAAATACACACACACAAAAAAAAAAACATCCACATAGTATAAGACTGCGATAGAGTTTGTCAATTGAAAAAATATGATTCCCAACCCTCAAATGAATATTAAGTTGAAATCATGTATCAACCGATATTCTTATGTTAGGATTATTATGCCAAACTTCGGCACTTTGAAAAACTTTGGTGAAAACTTTGACACTTTGAAAAACTTTGGCGAAAACTTTTACAATTTGAAAAACTTTGGACACTTTGAAAAACTTCGAAAACTTTGACACTTTGATTTACTAAAGTTAACTATAGTAAACTATAGTTAACTATAGTTAACTATAGTTTACTATAGTTAACTATAGTAAACTATAGTTAGCTATATATTTTTAAGCGGTTAGCTTCGCTAGCCGCTTTATGGCATATATATCGACACCGGAAACTTCCATAAGGCGCTACCTATCGACAACGGAAACTTCAACAAAGCCTCTACCTAGTACCTATGATTTGTTTCTAACACATATACATATGTTAAATAAAATCAAGACTATCAAAACAACATAATCTTTCGGTTTTTTAATGTTTTTCTGATTTTGTTTGTCTAAATTTATAATTGTTGTATTAAAAAAGGTTTATGTATAGGAGCATTTGGTACTGTGACGTTTTCGGGCCCTGTGACGAAATTCGAAGTCTTCTGATTAAAATGTAACTAAACCTAAGAGTGTTTCAGTGTTATCTAATATGCTACTATTTATATATAGAGGGGGTAGAATGTTTCATATTTGGCTAATTTAGAGACTTAGATAAAAATTCAGGTGCCTGTGATTAATTATAAGCTAAAAAAATATTTGACTATATGCTACTGATTAGTTTATTACATAAATACACACACACAAAAAAAGCCTTTATATAAAAATACTGAATACATCTGTAAGTTGTACAGTTATGGATTACTTCCATAATGAAACGTTTGTTTTCTTCTCCTTTTTTTCTCAATTGAAATTAAGACTGATAAAAGCTTTGTTTGTCATAAATTCTGTACTCAGTCTAATTATTACAAACTATTTTAAACGATCACAAAAAAAAAAAATAATGGGAGCCTTCCGAAAAAAATTTAATCGGCATTCGACCTTTTCTCATATAAAATGAATAAAAATCTTGACGATAAGCACAAATTGAAAATTATGTCTGAAATTATTTTTGAAAGTTTGCTAAATTCCTATCATTTTACAAATTTGAATTTGTCCAATTTGTTAATTATCATTTTGAACCTTTGAGAAGAAATAAAAATTAAAATACAGATGCTTACAGACATATTGATAGAAATTCGCAGTTTTTAGATATATTGCTTATGCCAAACAATGATACCTAGGCACTTTAATTGTTTGTTAAAAAGTGAACCTTTGAATTTTTGAAATACTAGTAAAAAACAACAACTTTCCTTTTCACACGAATACAATATTTCATGAAAAATATTTGAAAAACTTTAGCGAAAACTTTTACTTATTCTTTAATTGAAAAAGTCTTGTATACATTTCTTAAAACTTTATTATCTTGTTTTCTTGTCTTTCTTCCTGTGAGAGAACTAATATTAATAAACAGATGTACTCAGTACTGTATCAAAATACAGAATGAACAGTGATCGGAAAAAAAAACAGATCCTTGAAAGTTCCGGTGCCTAGGAGAAGTACATCCCCAATGACAGGTCACACCTGCTGACCCGCAGTGAGCCTACGAAACTGAAGCTCTCTGAAATTAATTAATTCTCTGCTCGTCCATCCACTTTTCTCAGACTAGCCAGCTAAAGATCTATGTACAGCACTCCACATCAATTAATCTAAAGAATTTGAATTATCATTTTATTTTCTTTTTGAGTTGTTTGCTATAGTAGCCTTTACAGTTACCTAATTTCAGTTAGAGCCAATTAAATTTGCAACATCAACATAATTCTTTTTTCGTTTTTGGAACCAATGGAGACAATTAGGGAAAATTTTTTGAAATTGAACTTCCTGTCTTTCAAACTGAAAATCTCAGGTTGATATTTTGAAACAAACATTTGATATATTTAGTTAAGTACTACAAAAATTCAGTGTGTCTGCTTCTTCGCTGATGACACTAAAAGATATGCATGCCTACTTTATTATCATCATTCAATGCATTTTTTGTTATTGTACACTGTACATATTCGATGAAAGCATGCTAACCGCTTTTCTTTCAGTACTTTGATTTTTGTAAGGAACGGTCCGGCATATAGTTCTCTCCTACATGAAAATGGGAGAGGATCGTACACTTTGGCCGTGGTTTGCGACGATGGCGTTACCAGGGTTTTTAAAAAAAATATCAATTGATGAAAATTCTTGTAAAATTCAAAGAAATATATACAAAAATTACAAAACATATATTCTAGATGTTTTGTTTATCCAAGCTTTTTCAAAAGAAGTGTACGACAGCATATATAAACTTTAAAAGGTAGCACACAATTCCTTTCAGTATTGGAACTCTTCAACTCCAGGGGAAAAGACAATTAAGTTCAAACTACGTTACAAATGTTTTAATAACGATACGTGTTTCAAAGTCTTCAAACCAACTGTCACTCTACACGATCCATTGTGGGATCCCGATGACCCGATCCCGATGTATTTTCATAATAATTTAAAAAAATATAGTTTTTGTGGTTACTGAATATTATACAGTTTCAAAGAACAGTATTATGAGCTCATAAACATGTATAAATGTTAATTATCAACACCCACTCAAAATTCAAAAGTTTTAAGTTAAGTTAAATTGTCCGGGGTATTCTTTGTAAAGAAGGCCAAAGATCGAGGCCAAGTGAATTGTTTATAATGTTTTATGACAATCAGTGCACATTTTTAATAGCATAGAATACCTCGTTAAATGTCAATAATATGCATATGTATATTGGCACCTTTAACTTTCTAGTTAAGTAGGTAAAAGGACAAGGTCAAGGGTCATGAAGTCGGTAACCATGGCAATTTACAAATGCCATACTGCCTAGCAATAAATGTGCAAAAAAGTCCATATCTCTGTGAGTTCTTGAAATACAAGGTGTGACAGACGGACAGACAGACAGCTAGACGGACAGACAGACGCCGGGTAAAGTGATCCCTTAGTGCCGCTCTGCTCCGTAGGCGGCACAACAATCACTTTTTATATGCCCTTGACAATCTTTATTTGCTGTCTAGTGTCTACCTCCCTGAGTACTTAAATGACATAGATACATGTATACATTATGTCTTGCATTTAAAAAATATCCCCAAAAATCTAAACATTTTCTTTACCTGTAGTTCTACATTCAAATCTTAACAAGAACGAAATAAATAAATAAAATAAAATAAAATGAATAAACCAAAAAATATAGCTGTCTGTTGTACAGAGTATTTGTAGAATTATTATGATTAATACGATAAAAAATACAGACCCGTTCTCTCGCTTCGCTCTCGCATGAAATGCATATTCAGATTTTCTCTAGTTAAAAGATTTAACTAAAGAAAAACATGCAAGGCGCTATAAAAAAAGGTGTTTGAAATTAAAACGCAAGAAAATTTATGTAAGGTCAACTCGAACAACGACTTTGAAAAGTCTAAACTTACCATCTGAGCTATTCTGATTTACATATGTACTATGTTTAACTATACACCCGGTAGTCATAGAGATATTTTTTGCATTTTTTCGTGAACCTTGAGCCTAGGGCGGGTATGTTCCCATCCTTTTTAAAATAATTATATGAAAATATCATAATCTTATTTGGGACATATTTGTCCTGAAGTACTTCTTGGCAAAAAAAAAAAAGAACAAACAAAATTTGTTGATTTCCCCTGGAAATGCCGTTTTTGTAATCTATGAAGGATAGTGCAAATAATAAATATAAGGGTTCAAGATGCAAATTTTAAAATTTTAGACATATATACAAAAGAGAATAATCAGTGGATGTTATTTCGACATGTTACTTTTCCTGAAAATCATTCTATCCTATATGACATTTTCATGAGTCTTGATAAGGCATCATTCTGGACTCTCAGTACCTGGATTAATTGAGCCCTCGATCATTATTACAATATTTAGTCGCTGGTCAAAATCTAGTGAGCAGGTCAAGGATCGCGTCAATAGCCAAACTAATAAAACCAGTCAAGTGTTACTGGATGTTGAAATAAACACGACTGGAATCCTAAATAAACTATGGTGGGTATCGGTTAAAAAGCCACCAAGTTTAGGGGACGTTAAACTGGTATAAAGCTGTATTTTGAGGGAAAAAAATGCCTGCTTTGTAGTAGGTACCGGGGATTATACATACACACGTACATGTAGTAGGTACATGAATTCACATTATAATATTGTGTATAGAAACAAGCAAAATCTTATCTTGTTATCTGACCTATAAATAAAAAATGCAAGTTCTTTGTTTAAATTTATGATAAGTACTGTTTAAACAACTTTCAGAGCCGACAAAACATACATGGGTCTTCTATCAAGGACATTGCTTTTCAGATGTGTTGTAAATATATATCCGTATCCTTTTACATTGATTTATTTCTTGATTTCAGAATTCATCATAAGTAATATATTATGTGTCTTTCTTTTTTTTTTTTTTTTTCAATTTTACATGGGTATCAATTACCAATTCTACAAGAATGTTTCAAACCCCTGTCAATTAACCAATTAACAAATTCATATTATGTTTCTTTAGACAAAAATGACAACGATCATTCTATCGGTATTCCAACGATGCATAAAAGTTAACGCAACGCATAATCTTACTGCAAATACTTACCAGAAAACGCTGGGTTTTCCATTTCCGACAATTTTCCAGTGTATGGAAGTGCCTAACAATTGTATACCAATAAATAATCAGTTGGTTTTGACATAAGTGCTCCTTGCAGGTCCCACAGATAAATACAGTCTAGAGTAATAAAGTTGAATTGGAAGATACGTCGGAAGAAAACGACGTCCACATTAGAAAGGTTTCGGTTGACTGATTTTCGAATAAATAAATCTAACCTGACGAACAACTTGCATTGAAGTCACAGTGTTGCATTTTTTACCTGTAATGAGCAAACTGAGGTAAACTCTCGATACAAGGATATAGTTTAAAACAAACTGGAAATAGGCTAGCAGTGAAGGCAAATATATACATGTACAAGTTTGAATAAACTGTATTCAGTAATAATTTACTATCAGCAAAGCCGAAGATGAAATTTAAAACGAAACCTAACCAGATAAAATTAATTAAGCGAGAATAACGGGGACCAGATGAAAAGCAATAAATAAATAAATGAATAAATAAATAAAATAAATAATAATTATTAAAAAAAAGTAAATATTATTATATAACTTCAATAGGTGTTGGGAATGCATTTGAAACAAAACACAGCTACACGTACTGTATCAACCACTATAATTGAACTCACGTTAACGAATGCTTTTTCCATCAAGACCATTAACAGTCGCAATAGGGTATGATATTCCTCTTCCGTTAAAAAAATTTTAACGTCTCTTGAAATTATTGATGAAACTTTTAAAACATTATTTTGTGGTAGCTGCCGAAAAAAGTCGATAGATTTCGTACATTTATTTATTATAGAATGGACATTGTCAAACTTTTTCGTGATTTGCGATGCATATGTGTATACCTGTCATATAAAAATTCCTAGATTCTGACTTTGTTTCGGGGAAATATTTGCCGTGTCAGTCAGTATAGAATCGCATTTTTTTTTTTTCAAAATTCATAGAAAATATGAAAAAAGTGTTGAAACAAAAGTCCATTGAAACAATACAAATTGGAAAAAAGGCAAACTTAGACCTCTTCAAACATCCGAGGATGGATCAGGTACCACGAAGGATTAAGCGGCCTATGTCAACTGATCACACCAACCCTATATTACTTGTCATGATCGGGTAAACGTTAAATTGCAGATATGTCAGTGTATAAATATTGACCCATCAATTAGTATGAAGAATGTCGGCAAGAGTTCGCGATCTCGAGCTCGTACTCCTACGTGGATATAAGAATCCTTAATGCTACGTGTCAAAACAAAATTTTCATGCTGAATAGATTATCTCATTAACATTCAAAAATTAAATACATATATTTCTTAGAATATAGCTCCTTCGTGAAGATAATGTCTTCGTGTTACATGGATATTTGCGAGAACAACATTCTGATGTCAGTTTCATTCTTAAATCCATAATGACAGTAATCCTTCTTAATTGTATGAACATTGATACCTGTCATTTAATTCAGACAGTGAAAAAAAACCCCTCAAAAATGTTTCGATTTCATCTTCCAGATACAATAGAGAGGCCATAGGAAACAATTTCAATGATCTAATCGTGTTTTGACAAGCACCACCAAGGATTCTTATATCCAAGAAAGATAACAAACAGTATTAAAGGTCAAAATTCCATAAAACAAAACAAACTGGGAGCAGAGCAAACACGGATCTCCAAAACATCAGAGGTGGCCTCAGGTGCCACGAGGAGTGAGCATCCCCTGCTGACCGGTCACACCTGCCGTGTGCTCCTTGTCATGATCGGGAAATAACGGAAAAATCCGTCGTCAATTCAGTGTACAGCTGTATAAATAATGGACTAACAATTAGTATGAAAAATGTCAGTCAGCATTTGACTCAATGATAAATTGTTTTTGCTGACAAGGTCATTGTATCGATCATAGAACTGACGAGATGATGACTTCAAACAAGGCTGCTGAAATTCTTGTTTCATCAACTTGTTTGTTAATAATCTACCTCGTTGTAGAAATTGTTCATACGTAGAGCATGCTCTTGCGTATCGAATGAATTGAGATAGATAAACTCCATATGCAGGTGATAAAGGTATATTGCTGCACAAGTAAGGGAAGTTAAAATCATCACGTTTATGATAGAATTTGGTTGTTAGATTACCAGTAACGTCTTTTTCAAGTAAAACATACAAATACAAAACATATGAAGTTGAAAATTCGTAAGTTTTTAAGCTATTGATTTTGGTAAAAAAAAATTGTCCAACAATTCTTTGGAATTTTTAGGTACATGTGACCATATCTGATTTACACTACTTCTTGAATATAACTTGTTGCACATTACTCTTGAAGTTTCTCCTTCACTACTGTTAATATTTTAGCGAGGAGTAGAGAAAGAGGCTTGGTAGAACATTTACTGGAACATATGTATCTTTGTTTGTTAGGATTTTCAGGAAGTTTCGGAATCCAATATAGATATGGTAGTTTTAGATTAAAAAAGAGATTACGTATATCCTCGTTACATCAACTTGTTTACCTATAGTTATGCCTTTTTTATCCTCGATCAACTTGTTTACCTATAGTTTGCCTTTTTGATATCGTAGAGCATGATCTTGAGCATTGACTCAATTGAGAGACATAAACATATATGCAGATGATAAGAGTACATTGTTAGATGTGGATACTTAAAAATTCCAAGGAACTTTTAAAAAATTTGAATCACGAGATGTTACCAAAATCAACAGCTTAAACCACTTTTCAACTTTATACACAACCATTCCCCACGACAAATTAAAGACCAGGTCTTCCAACAATTTATTGGATTGTTATGGGTACCAATTGCGCCCCGTTATGAGCAGACTATGAAAAGAGGAAAACACTTGTTGTGAAGATCAACTCGACTTTTAGATATTTCGTCGATGTATGAACATGTTTTACTGGTCCCCTTGAAAAAAAAAAGAAAAGTAGCCCTTGCACTTGCTTCTCCTTACCGTAATATTGTATTTTATGAACCCTGTGATGACAAAATGTTAAGTGTCTAATAACAATGTCTTCGAGGGTAAGTCTAGAATTTTTAGATATAATATGGAACACAATTCGATATTTTTTGGTGTCCCTACATTATTCAAACGAACATTTTGACGGCAATACTTCAATTCTCTTTTTTCCTTTAGAATTTCCAAGCCCAACTAAAAACTACACAGGGTAAAAGATTATTTTTCCACATATAATATGTTCTTGCGTATCGAATCAACTGAGATAAGAATTTTGTATGCAAATGACAAGGGTACATTGCTATACAATAAATGAGAGCCGACGATAGAAAAGTTGAAGTCATCATTTTAAGCAAACATAACCTACATGTACCCCTTGCTCCCGATTTGACTGACTAGTTTCGTAGCAATTGTAAGGCCTTTATTTTTGTACTAATCCGACTATAAAAAGACTCGTCTACTTGATACAAAGTGCTTTCTACGGGTGGGACCGGTCAAAAGGGATGCTTTTTCCTGCAATGTACCTGATCCCACCACTGGAATATCCAGGGGTCTGTGTTTTATACCCTCTTCTAAAATTTACGTCGCTTATAGATCTCTTGAGCTCTATCACGGTTTGTTATATTCATTCTTAAATTTACGTACAGTTTATTCAGCGACCAGACTTAATGAAGTGATTTAATTTTTTTTCTAGTAAGTAAATTGCAAGTTTTGAATTGTTTGCATAAAATGGTTTAGACGCAGTTAGCATATCATATTGCAATTAGTATTCGAACTAAAGTGATTTATTAAAAACATGTAACAGCTGATTTGTAGTTTGATATGTTTATCAAAAATGGAATCATTTTTTATTCCAATATTATGCGTATATTTTAAAATAGTTTAAACATTTCAGTAACTTATTTCGACACTACCTGTCATTTTGACCAGGCAACAAAACAGATTCTGAAATAAACCCTAGCAATGGTCGTTGTTCGAATGGTCATACATATTGGTATTAAATCCATTTTTAACAGGATTTCGACATCTAGTACACAACAATTAGGTTTCAAACAATGAATTATACAACATGATAAGGATTATGTTAAAATGCACCTCGCTTACTTTAAGATTTTTGAACAGTGTAGAAAAGAATAAATTATTTTTTTATTTGTATTTTGATTTGATTCTACTAGTACATCCCATATAGAATAGGACCTGTGGCCTTTTAATACTAATATGAACTATAAATAAACTTAATATTCCATGACAATACCAGCACACTTGATGGTGATAATTGTGCAACAATATTGTTTTATAATTATCAAATCCATCCCTAGCTAATTTTGAGGATTGTTCCTTTTTTAAAAAATGAAAATTATATCCAACCATTGAGATTGTTTTTAACTTTGACTTATATATAATAAAATTCCTTTAATATTTTAAAATTTTATCAGTGAAATATTGTATTTAATTTAATGTGGTAAAAAATTCCAAGTATATATTATTTCACACTGTGATCTTTTTTAAAGAGCAAAAACTATTTTTCGTCCCTGTATAAAGAGTGTAACAGAAAAATCCTTAGTTATAAAGTAACTAAAGTATTCAAACTCTATCTAAAGTCAAGGTCAGAAAATAAAATGTTGGTACCGAAAGAAAAGTTTTTCATAAGAGAATCACTTTGAAATACGATTTTCCTGGCACTAACCATTTTTACAAGGTTCATTTTTTTTCTAAGGAACGTCAAGAATTAAGGTCAGGGTCAAATGTTAAAATAAAATGGTTCCCTTAACGTTAAACTCAAATGTCTTTTATTTCAGAGAAAATATCTTGGCACAAGAAAGAAACCTCTGAAATTTGAGAGTCCGATCACCAATCACCAATCGAAAAGATTCAAAGGGACCAAATTCAAAGATCAAGGTTATAAGGACGTAACTGTTACCATCCAAGAAAATGCTCTGTCTGTAGAAATATGCATGTGAAATAAGAACACCCTTGTACAAACTGTTCAATACTTATGGCCAAGATTAAGGCTTTTAAAAATGAAGTGGGTCAATTTCCAAGATCAAGTTTATTGTAAATAATAATTGTACCCAAGGAAAAATCTTTTCTCCGTAAATATACAGGTGGACCAAGAAAGTCCTATCATCATCATTTATACATTATGGCAAGATTTAAAGTTTGTCGAAATTTTGCAAAAGCAGGTTAAACTCTAAGGTATTCAGTATCTTTTGACAAAAAATGTTGT